TTTGCGACATAGTCCCAGAAGGCCTCAGTCAGCAATTCAATCCGTGTATTGGGTGCATCAGCATATAAGATGTTGGCATTGCAGCCTGTTGAACAGAGAGAAAAACATTTTGAAGAACAGTTGGAAGGTTCAAAATATTTCAGAGTTTTCAGGTATTTTAACTGAAAAAATATTCCGAAGGAGGTAAAGTGGCATACTTAACTGCCAAATCCCAGAGGCATGTGTGAGTGTGTGTGAATGAGCATTAGATTAGATGATTGTCTTATTTTTATCTTGGTTTTATGGAAATTATAGATAGACATGCACCCCTGCGTAAATTTAGAGTGAAGGGACGAGACAATCCTTGGTTTTCTGCTGAACTATCCAGTCTCCTTCATGAGAGAAACAAGGCCTGGGCAAAGGCTAGGAAATCAGGCTCAGAGGTAGAATGGCTACGCTTTAGGCAGCTAAGAAATAGCTTCACATCACAAATAAAAAGTGCTAATTTGAAGTATTATCTGTCAGTTACCACAAAGAACCTGAATAATCCTGGAACATTTTGGAAAGCCATAAAATCGATATCCACCGGTGAAATCCGTAATGAGCTACCTCCGTGCCTTACCACAGCATCTGGCACAATATCGGACAGGGCTACTATGTTAAATTGTTTTAATGAGCATTTTGTGTCCTGTGGCTCTCTGTTTGATTCTGTCACTAACTCTGCTACTGTGAACACCACAGTCGGTGACTCTGAACAATGTGGTCTGGAAAACCCTTTCAGTTTTACTCCTTTTACTATTGATGTTGTTCGTTAAGCCTTAACCAAGTTAGATCCTAAGAAACCGGCTGGCCCGGACAACGTAGAACCTTTCTTTTTAAAGATAGCTGCAGATTTTATTGCTCCACCTCTCACTACTCTTTTTAACCTCTCCCTCAGCACAAATACAATTCCAAAAATATGGAAGTCAGCTCATGTCCTACCTTTACTAAAAGGAGGGGAGGCCACCTTATTAAATAATTATAGGCCCATCTCTAAATTATCAGTTCTGGCTAAGGTTCTTGAACGCCTAGTGAGTGAACAGGTAAATGAGTTTTTATGTATAAATGACATCCTATCTAAACATCAGTCAGGCTTCAGAAAGCAACATAGCACCATCACTGCGACAATGAAAGTGGTGAATGATATGGCGAGTATTTTAGATAATAAGCAGAGTTGTGCAGCTCTATTTGTTGACTTGTCCAAAGCGTTTGATACCGTCGATCATCACATCTTAAAGCAGAGGCTACTCAGTATTGGCATATCCAGCCGTGCAGTGGGGTGTTTTGTGAACTACCTCTCTGAAAGGTCCCAATGTGTTCACTTTGATGGGCTGTCTTCTGAGTGGTTAAACATTACTAATGGTGTACCACAAGGTTCTGTTTTAGGTCCGCTATTATTCTCCATCTATATAAATAGTTTAGGTGAAAATGTTGATGGAGCAACCTTACATTTTTATGCGGACGATAACGTGATGTACTGTGCAGGTCCCTCCATTAAGGAGGCTGTTGTTTAATTGCAAGCTGTTTTTACCATTATTCAGACTGAGCTCTCTGAACTAAAGCTTCTTTTAAATGTTGATAAAAACCAAGGTAATGCTCTTTTCAAATGCTAAAAAGACACCAGAGCCTGTTTTAGATATTGTAACTACGCAAGGAATAAAACTTGAAGTGGTTACCTGTTACAAATACCTTGCTATCTGACTTGATGATTGTCTCACTTTTAAACTTCATGTCAATAACCTGCTTAAAAAACTGAGGATTAGGCTAGGTTTCTTTCACAGGAACAAGTCCTGTTTCTCGCTTGAGGCCAGGAAAAGGCTAGTCACTGTGACCTTTTTACCTGTGCTGGACTATGGTGATCTGATCTATATGAATGCACCTGCCAATTGCCTAAACAAGTTAGATGCTGCGTATCACAGTGCACTGAGATTTGTGACAAACTGTAAAGTATTAACCCATCACTGTACCCTGTATGCAAGGGCAGGTTTGCCTTCACTAACTGTACAGAGGCTCAGTCACTGGTACATTTTTATATACAAAGCCATGTTAGGGAAACTTCCATCCTACATCTGCTCCCTGATCTCACGGCGAATTGTAAGTGGCTACTGCCTGAGATCGCATGCTGTGGTTTTATTAAATGTGCCAACTGCTAGGACTGTCTTAGGGAAGATAGCTTTTAGATGCGCAGCTCCACTAACTTGGAACAGTCTGCAAAAGGAATGGAAGCTGAGCAATTTGGTTCCACTAAAGGTTTTTAAAGCAAGGATAGATGCTATCCAATCGGAAACTGTTGGAACCTGTAAATGTCACAAGCTATGTAAGCTGTAGTCGCTGTAAATATGCTGTATGATGTCCTTTTTGTTTTTCTGTTGTTTTATGTTTATATGTATTCATGTGGAACCTACTTGCAGCAGGTCACCCTTGAAAAAGAGATCAATGAACTCAATGGTATTCACCTGCATAAATAAAGGTTTGAAATTAAATGAAATTAAATGATGAGCAGTCTGACTCCTTATATGGTCACCCATACAAGGTTCCATATCAGTACACACCAGTGTATTAATGTGTATGTGATCGGTTAATTTCACATCCAAGGAATTTCTGGGTGTTATTTAAAAGTGATTTGAGTGGTCCAAAAACCTCATTGCAATTCTATATTTGTCCTTGAAGTCTTTTGACTTGGGTGTCACGCTCCAAAACAAATAGGGATATTTTTCCACCATACTCACCAGTGAAAACGGCAAGGACGAGCAGAACAAGGACCTTCATGGCTCTTATATCTTAACAAGGAGATACAAAGATAGTTAGCAAAGCCTGTTCACTAAGATTCAGTGTAAAAAGAAAAAATTCAGAAGCTACTCCGAGCCAATCCTTCATCATCTCACCTGAGTTTGTTGTTGTATCGGCAAATCCACTTGGCACTGCTTGTGTTGAGCTGGTGAGGTTCTGCAGCTTATAAAGCAATACGGACTCTAATGATCCCAAAGTACAGTGGCTAGTGTCTTGCTGTCACCTTGCCTCACCCTGCTATCCTCACAGACACCCAGTGCCAGACACCACGCAACAATCATGCACAACCCCATATTGTTGCACCAATGCACACACACACACCAAGCAAATCATTTATTTTAAACAGTTTCATATGTCAGTTATCATCTACCAAACAGTATTGATTTAGTTATGTGCCTTTTTATCATGATTTGGCCTAAATATGTGTGATTCCTCTGTGTTAGAGTGTGACTAAATCCTCAAGTGTAACCTTAAATGGACCTTGTCCTCAAAAGCCCTCCTGTAAGTATGTCTGTAATCACTTTTATGTTAGCTCTGCATCGCCAGAGATAACGCTTTGCCAGGAATGGCAAAATCCCTCTTCTCATGTCTCTGATGTCCAGCTTTGATTATATTTACAGTGGTTTATTTATTGTCACTATTAGCTTGCCATGTTGCCAACCAACTTCACCGTAGCTTGTGGTTCTAGTCTGTGTCATGCTATGAGTCCATATGGGTCAGTTTGGCCAAAGGTCAGCAGACACCAACACCGTCAGCTTTCGGAGGACAAAGTAGCCTCAGTTTCACACAAGCCAAACCATAGTATCAACATTTTTGTTTCTTCCATTTTTTCTATAGACAGTGTCCAACTCACAATGTCTTAGACTTGAACATTTATTTTATTTATTTATTATTCTCATTTTACCATGATAGTATTCTAAGACTTTTGTACAAGTGGGCTAAACTTGATATGTATATATCTTCTAATTCTTTTGGTATTCAAAATATGTATAGTGCCCATGCAAAACCGGCCTTAGACTATAGAATTGCTGCTTGAACAACTCGTAGAAACAACTTAACCCTCGACACTGCCTTCTTTTTGAGTCCTTATGATAAGTTGTGGCTTTTTGCATTTCTCAATGTATGTATCTTTCAGGTTCCAAAATGAGACAGACACTGGCTTTAAGATAACCGGTTATACTGTAAGGTAAATCAAGGATTTAATTAGCTTGAACATTTTGCCTTTAGAAATGCCCTTAGATTAAGTCAATTGTCTCAAGGTCTGCTTCACCTATTTGAAACACATTCCCGTATCCATGTTGATGGCATATGTCTTTGTCAAAAAACAAAGTTCATAGTCTAATAGGTTAGAACAGCAAACGTGAGAAGTTGGGTTGTAATGTTTGTATACCCAGCAGCAATTGTGACTGAACTGGGTGGGTAATAGCCTGCTGCAGACATGATGACATGATCAACTCAGTATTCAGAGCCCTGAACTCCTGACCTGCTCCGGCCCAGAGTCCTGTTCATTTGTTTGTTTTCTATAATATTGGACATGTCCTATTTGACCCTCTTCGGCACTTTACAATCCGAAGCATTACATCTGTAAAGTGTGAAGAAGGTCAGATAAACCGTTCTCGAGGAATGGGAAAGAATACCAACATACAGATCCCTTGCTTTATATTTACAACGCATTTTAAGAGGCAGTTTGGTACATTTATTTCAAACTACTTATTCCAATTATTCCCCTCTGTCAGTTTAAAGTATTTTTTAAAAGGCCACAATTTGATTTAAAGCTAACTTAAATCACCTCAAACCGCATTACCAAGGAAAATTGATACCAAGATGACTTTGGATATTTTGGCTTCTCACTACGCATATTTTATTCACGTTGCTTGCCCCTAACACAAAGTCCACCAGTCCAAGCATATTGAGGTTATCTGGAGTTATCTGAGGACACTTTTACCACTGGACAACGTGGACAGTTACTATTTCCTAGTTGCTTTCTAAAAAGGGGTCAAACAAGAACTATTGCAATATTCATGGTCAGGTACATTGGTTTTATTGTTCCAAAAGCCATATTGCCTGTGAAAACTGTAAAGGTTGTGTCAGTGCGCCTGCGTTGGAGGCTCAGCAGCTCATGTGATAGTAGTGCGGAAGCAGAGGAGTCAGGAGGAGAGTCATTGTGACAACATGGAACTTGACTCCTGGACTTTGAGCTCTTGACTACAACTGTTCTGTGCTTCAGTATATATATACATGGAAGCGCCAGTCTGTCATTCACAAACACGCTTAACTCTGAGAGACGCACAAGCCAAAAGCAGGTGAGAATTACACTACATTTGAATACATCACATGACACAATAATGCAGTCTGAAAGCTAACAATCTCATAACTGTCTTTCAGCAATCATGAAGGTATTCCTTGTACTCGCCATTGCCGTACTGTCTGGTAAGTTGTTTTTGCTTTCTCAAGTGTCTTTTCTACATCAATCAGTATGGTTTACCCAACTAAGAGCTATTAATATGAACTGCATTTATAAAGCTGCTTCTGTGTCCGTCCAACAGGCTGCAATGCTAACATCTTTTATGCTGATGCACCCAAGCCACAGCTTGAAGTGCTGACTGATGCTTTCTGGGACTACATTGGGAAGGCCACCCAAACAGCTGATGACACCCTCCAGATGATCAGGAAATCAGAGTTTGGACAGGAAGTCAAGTAAGTAGTGTGACACACAGGAACCATGGTGACTATTAGTGGCATGTGTGGTTGGCATTGTATTACACAAAAATGTCTGATTGTCTAACCTTCACCCTGCGTGTCTTCCAGTGCCCGCCTGGCCGACAGCACTGACATTGCCAGCCAGTATGCCGTCTCCCTGCAGGAGCAGCTCCCCCCTGCCGCCCAAGACCTGATGACCAAGATCACCGCAGAGGCTGATGTGCTGAGAAATGTTCTGACCAAGGAGCTGAGCACTGTCAGGGGCAAGCTGGAGCCCTACACCGACGACATGAAGGTCCAGATCCAGCAGAGAGTGGAGCAGCTCAAACAGGAGCTGGCCCCCTACGCTGAGTCCCTTGACACCGAGGCCCTGAGAGCCACCCTGGAGCAGAAGAGCGAGGAGCTGAAGCAGAGTGTGAAGGACCTGCAGGCTCAGTTCGGGCCCTACACCGATGACCTGAAGCTGAAGGTGGACCAGCACCTGCAGGACTTCCAGGAGCGCGTGGCCCCCGTGACGGAGAAGGTCCAGGTGGAGCTGATGCAGAGAGCCAAGCTGGTGAAACAGATGGTGGCCCCCTATGCTGAGGACCTGAAGGAAAAATTGGACCCGTACGCCCAGGACCTCCAGGCCCAGCTCACGTCCCTCTACGAGTCCTTTATCAAGGGCAACTAAGTCCACCTCCACACCTACTTCATCGTTCATCAGGATGCCGACCTCTGTTGGAAGCATGTAATATACTGTAAACCAAATTAAACTAATATTTATTACAAGTTGCAAAGCTCTGCACTTGGCGAAATTGTAAATATTTGTGTTTTGAAGTTGGAAACTGTGACTTTTTTGTAATCTCTGTTAAGTTATCAAAAATAAATACTTGCATCTGCAAACAATACTTTTGTATTTCTAGTCGATTACAGATTATGTAAATCTACAATAAATCTAATCCTAAAAAAAACATTAAATATATATTTTGTACTTACGCTGTTTTAGAGCATACAGTGAATTATCAAAACATCTCTAAAACAAACAAATGGTTACTACATAAACATAAACAGGGACTGCTGTGGTCACAGTGGGGCATGTGCTGCTTTTTTCATAGGAGGTAACTTGTATTTATTCCATGTCTTAACATGTCCTGGCTCCTGTCACAGTTTCGTCTCAATCTTTATCCAGAGGCAGAATTATGTTCCTATTCAGATACTTGTCAATGCTTGCCATGAAACTGCACCTTCCTGTTTTCAATACCAAAATTGGGAAATGTTTTCAAAAACATGGATGACCAAGGTACTGTGAGAGAGGCCTAGATAAGTCAGGTATTGATTTATCCCATTAGATTTCTTTTTTTTTAGCCCTAAAAATCATGTGAATCTGCATTTTATTCAATTTTATTTTAATGCTACTTTGGAAACAACAAAAATACTTCCAGGGTGAAAAAAAGTTGTGCAATGTCTTATAGTTGTAAATATCCAAAACAAAGCGTTATCCACCTCTAGTGACGCTGCCGGCATCCAACGTGGAGGTCCAGAGTCCAAATACAATACTAACTTTACACTCATGCACACATGACACACAAGCAATGCACATTGTTCCCAGGTGAATAACGTGGAAAAGTGTGTTTTGAGTTATCTTGATAACTAGGAAAATTGATAAATGAGCCTTAAACTAGTGCAATCAAATATAAAGAATAGCACATTTAATTATTTATTCAGCTCACTTATTGCATTACTTTGATTTAGATAAAAACATTAAAATACATGTCATCATAATTTCAAATGTTTTACTGTTCCTATCTTGTCATAGAACATCTTTATGAGATTTGTCATATGTTTTACTTTGAACCTTTGCACATTTCTCCAATCATTGTGCACATGTGTGCCCAAAATGACAACAACATTTACATAGAAATGTATGTATTTTTATAATATTTGCTCTCTCATTTTAATGTATCTTACTGTATTTATGTATGCACCATTATAAACCAAAGCTTATTCCATGTATGTCTAAACCTGTGTGTGTGTGTGTGTGTGTGTGTGTGTGTGTGTGTGTGTGTGTGTGTGTGTGTGTGTGTGTGTGTGTGTGTGTGTGTGCTCCTTCAACAGGATTGAGGTCATCAGGGTTGTTTGCTTGTGTAGCCACAGGAATTAAAATCTGATCAAACTGCGTCCAAACAGTCCTGCTGGAGGAGATATGTTAAATTCTGTCCATTAAACTCTCTGAATAAATAATAAATAAGTAATAGGAATGTGTGACTGCAAGGACGTTACTATATCTCCATAGATAGTGTTTCCTATTTTTAAGAAATGAAGGTGATTAAATCACAACACATTTCTCAGTTTGAAGTTTCTGCAACAATGGCACAACAGTTTGCAAAAGACAAAACAATAGTCTCAAAGGCGGAGATGTCAGTAAGATTAAATGAACAAAAGACGTGTGTGATAACATATGTCTAACACGTTAAGTCTAATTAGCATTCACATTCTCACGCCTGTCAAACCGGGCTCCTGTCAAAGTGCAAATGTCAAGCAAACAAAAATAGTTTTATGTAAATTCCATTTACTGATCCTATCTTTTGTGAATGTAACATTATCTGCTTCCTCACATCTCAGTTGAAAACGACATAATGTGAATAGATTGTGCATAACAGATGTATGACTTCATTAACTAAGGCAGTCAAATTTAAATAATGAATTTAATTGACACTTATTTCTATATTTCTCAAGTCTTTACCTGAGACACCTGACCAAGGCTGTAATGTGTCTGACTTCATCAATTACATGCAGACAGATAACCATGCCTAAACCAACAGTAAGAGATGCAGCTGACAGATGGACATTTAGATGAAAAGTACACAGTAAAAAAAGAACGTGTTGAAAGATTTACTGAGTCACATAAGACCGTATGACAAAGCATTTGGAAAAGCCCGTATGACAAAACGCCCCTTACCTCTTCTGACAGAATAGAAAACAGTAAAAAAAAAACAATCGCTCAATTATCACGTTCCCGTTCCAACATGTTTACAATGCAAACATTTCATTTCTAAAAGTACAAAACTTAAGTTGTATTTCATAAAACTTAATACCTCTCTACCGTTAAATATTGTAATTTCCACTTCACACACACATTTCCATACCCTTCCAGTAATTTGCATTTCCAAATTTGATTTTGTCTAACATACGGAAGAAAAATGAACTAGTATTTACAAAGAATGATCCCCAAGAGCTGAATCTGACCCGGATAACTATATTCTATGTAAGTTATATTTGATTGTTTCAGTCCTTCTCTGTGTTGTCCCTACAGCAGCACGGAAAAGCCTACTCGGGTACATTTGGCTAAAGGGGTTTTCGGTTTATGTGTTCATTGTTTTATCAGTGTGATACTTAATGACATTATCTAAGTCAGGGGTGTCAAACTCAAGGCCCGTGGGCCAAATCCGGCCCGCGACCTCATTTTTAAGAGCTTGCAAAGAATATGATATACAATACAATTGGTGTAATTGTTGAATATTTGCTTTCAATTATTTGCCCTATACTTCTTCTTTCAGACGTAGTTATTTATGAAGTTACTACCAGAACTGATAATAATCCAATGCAGAGCCAATAATGTAATATAATACATTATTTAATATATATTATATATTTATATATGTATATTTATATAGAGAAGCCAAGAGTCTGCAAAGCTGTCATCAAGGCAAAAGGGGGCTAATTTGAAGAATCTAAAATATAAATCATATTCTGGATTTTGTAACACTTTTTTGTTTACTAGATAATTACATATGTGTTTTTTTATAGTTTTGATCTCTTCAGTATTAATCTACAATGTAGAAAATTATTAAAATAAATAAAAACCTTCGAATGAGAAGGTGTATCCAAACCTTTGACAGTATATTTATATAGTTACAACCGGCCCTTTGAGTGTAACCATAATGCTAATGTGGCCCGCGATGAAATTTAGTTTGACACCCCTGATCTAAGTGTATTGTAGTTGCTTAAAAACCTGATATATGACTTGTTTTAGTTGTCAGCAAAATTAAAGTACACATTAGTTCCCAATTGGCTTCTATGCAGGATATCTGTGATACGTTTATTTGGATTTACTAAGACTTTATTTAAGTGGTCTACAATCAAAACTGTAGATGCACTGGATATTTTATGTATCTGCTTGTATTCTAACCCATGGTGTTTTTAGGACTGTAGTATTACATCAAATGAAAAAAAAAAATTCCTGTGTTTAAGTCCCTAAAACTTAGCTTTCAAATGCATGTCTATGTGATATAATCTTCACAGATAACATTTTATTTCAATGTTTCATTCTTCCTGACATAATCCCTAAAACTATTAGTTATTATAACATTAAAAAAAGGCAACACTTATAAATATTTGTATTTATAGAATGATCAAATCTCCCACTGAGTGGCTGAGACCTGCATCAGGTGTTGCCAAACATCAGCCATGTGACTCTGATAATAATAGATGATAAGATAACTTCTCTTAAACCAACTGTAAGTGATACAGCTGACATGTATTGAGAGGGAAAAAAAAGACACAAAAGAATATATGTTGAAAGTTTTAGAGATACTGTGTCCATCTGCGACTGCATGTCAAAGAATGTGGAACGGCCTGGTTTACAAAACAAACCCTCACTCTTCTGACAGTCTGGAAAACTACAAACCACCATCCTTCAATTACTACGTGCATGACTGTGTCAGACTTCCTGTCTTAAACACAAATAGTACCTAACTCAAGTCTATACTTAGAAATACTACTTGTATATTTCTGCTTGTCAAATGGGCTCCTGTCAAAGTGCAAATGTCAAGCAAACAAAAATAGTTTTATGTAAATTCCATTTACTGATCCTATCTTTTGTGAATGTAACATTATCTCTTTCCTCACATCTCAGTTGAAAATGACAAAATGTGAAATGAGTGTGCATAACAGATGTATGACTAAGGCAGTGAAATTTAAATAATGAATTTAATTGACACTTATTTCTAGATTTCTCAAGTCTTTACCTGAGACACCTGACCAAGGCTGTAATGTGTCTGACTTCATCAATTACATGCAGACAGATAACCATGCCTAAACCAACTGTAAGAGATGCAGCTGACAGATGGACATTTAGATGAAAAGCACAAAGTAAAAAAGAACGTGTTGAAAGATTTACTGAGTCACATAAGACCGTATGACAAAACGGCCCTTACCTCTTCTGACAGAATAGAAAACAGTAAAAAAAAAAAATAATCCCTCAATTATCACGTTCCTTTCAGACAACATGTTTACAATGCAAACATTTCATTTCTAAAAGTACAAAACTTAAGTTGTATTTCATAAAACTTAATACCTCTCTACCGTTAAATATTGTAATTTCCACTTCGCACACACATTTCCATACCCTCCCAGTAATTTGCATTTCCTAATTTGATTTTGTCTAACATACGGAAGAAAAATGAACTAGTATTTACAAAGAATGATCCCCAAGAGCTGAATCTGACCCGGATAACTATATTCTATGTAAGTTATATTTGATTGTTTCAGTCCTTCTCTGTGTTGTCCCTACAGCAGCACGGAAAAGCCTACTCGGGTAAATGTGGCTAAATGGGTTTTCGGTTTATGTGTTCATTGTTTTATCAGTGTGATAGTTATTTATGAAGTTATTACCAGAACTGATAATAATCCAATGCAGAGCCAATAATGTAATATAATACATTATTTAATATATATTATATATTTATATATGTATATAGAGAAGCCAAGAGTGTGCAAAGCTGTCATCAAGGCAAAAGGGGGCTAATTTGAAGAATCTAAAATATAAATCATATTCTGGATTTTGAAGCACTTTTTTGTTTATTAGATAATTACATATGTGTTTTTCTATAGGATTTAATTGCTGATTTTTGCAGAGGAAGTAGTTCTGATGGCATTATCAATTAGCGACCTTCAGCACTAATTGGATCTGTTCGCAGCCGAGTGTGAACACTGGAAAAAATGCTGCTCCAAAAACAAGTTAAACAATAATGAAAACAAGGTGTTATCACTTGAAATAATTAAAATAATCTGCCAATAGAACAAGTGAAAATTTGCTTGGTAAGATTCCTTGAAATAAGAAGGGGTATTTAGATAAATCAGATATGGGAAAACTTATTTTGAACTATATTTTACCAGAATCAGGAAATGTTTTTACAATATAAGCCGCAAATGCTCAAAAGTGTTCTGTTTTTCTGATGCTAGTTGGTTATCTTTCAATTAACATGAAAAATAAATGTCTTTCATTTGAGATACAACTCAAAATAAGATTATCTGTACAATAGCTGCCCACTGCTCCTAGTACTAGACTCCTTGTACTAGGATGGGTTAAAAGCAGAGGCCAAATTTCACTGTGTGTGCTGTGTGCTCTGCATGTGTGACCATTAAAGAGGGTTTCATCCCTCCCTATAACATAACATATTTGACTTCACAAGGAGGATGCATTGTCTAAAAACAAGACCCGATATGTCATTGCAGTGTTACTTCTGAAGTTATTATGTCTTATAGCAGGTGTAAAGACATATTCGATATGTTGATTAGATATTAGACAAATATACTTGGCAAGATTCTGAGTTTTTGTAGTGAAGCGGCGGGGATAAGGATCAGCAACTCTAAATGTGAGGCAATGGTTCTCAGCAGAAAAAACAATGGTTGGTTAACTCAGAGTAGGGAACGAGTCCTTACCCCAAGTTAAGAAGTTTAGGTATATCTGGGAGTCTTGATCTTGTGTGAGGTGACAATGGAGCATGAGATGAGCCTGAGAATCAGAGCAGGGGGAGAAGTGCTTAAGACACGTGGGAGGAGGATGGGTGGATGAATGGATCAAACTAAATAATCATGCATTTTCATAACATTGTTCATACAGTATAAAATAGAAGAAGCCCCAGAATCCAGAACATAAAGGTGTGTTTTATTTGTCCAGTGCAGTTATACAATGCTTGATTTGGAATCCCTGGATTACATGACATTGAAGCTATTGGAAGAATCAATAAACACTCATAGATCATAGAACAAGCACTAAAACCAACAAAAATATCCGGGTCTTCTCTGTGTAGTGTAGTAATATATCATATCATTGGAGCTATTGGAATGAAATGAGAGTTTTTTATACGCTGAATTTCCCTAAAATAGTCATATAAAATTGAAAAAGCTCTATTAAATCAGAAGAAATGTATGTGTTGTTGTTTTTTGCATAGTTGTAATATCTGATATCGGTTTGGAGTTAAGTGATGCTGCAGTAGATATATTAAACTAAAGTGCAAAAGATAATGCTCCACTGCGTTTAAACCGGATCCTCAATTAACAGATTGACAGCAGTTTGCTTTGCTCTTGAATGGAATTCTCAAGGTCCTTTGTCTGCACTTTTGTTTCTGTCTTCACAGCATTGCAACCACAACATCAATTGTTAAGTATTCGGAAAGAATGTAAAAGAATTGTCTGAAGTTAAAACCTGTTCTACTTTGTTTTCGCAGATGGGCATGATGATTTACACACATATATAAACTCATACTGTATAGCCAAAACCTTCATGTTTAGAACAGACAATCGAGCTGGCAGAAGGTAAACGCAGATGAGCATTTTCTGTCTTCTTTAAATACTGCATTTTCAGATTAGTGAATAGGACACAATAATGTATAGTAACTTTATCGTGTTTTGAGAGGTTTACGATTATATTTGTTCATATTATACAAATATATTACCATATTTTTGAATTTATCATGCTTATTAATATTGATCTTGTTTATATTTCCAGTTTGTTTCAAGACACAAGGATGAAAGGCTACATTTTCCTTGTTGTGATTTTGACCGTTTCATCATCATTCTCCAAAAGAACAGTAAGAGTTACTTTATTGTTGTACTTTTCCTTAATTTCTAATGTATTGGCTTGCTGTTGATTTCCTAACATTTCATACAGGAATGAATGAATTACTTATTTTTCATAAAAGTTGAGACTCAAGCATATTTAACTGCATCCGAAAAAAAATAGATGGAATGCGAACATGTTATTTGTATGTCATGTTGTACGTTAGATATTATAGTTTTACAATTATTTATCTCCGCAAATGTAATTGTTCACAGGTCAGATTGGAGATAGTGGGTAAGTTGTGGTATTTCATATTTTATCTTTTATTTCATAAAATATATAATATTTAATAATTTAATTCTCAATGTTACTTCATAAGGCAACCTCTTATCTGTTTTTCTAGACATTGGTGCAAGCAAGAGCATTCAAGAGGCAAACAAAGGTAAAGTTAAACATTTTCATACCATTAAATGGACCTTTTGGTAATATTGTTCTGTCAAGTTCATTTATAACCAAGTAACTTATTCATTGTATCGTTATTGATATTCTGTTAAAAAAAAACATCCCCTTTTATGTGTTATCTTAGATTCTTTTCAGGATGATATCCTGAAGGTGGGTTTAGCATTTTTAGGCAAATATTCAAATGATAAACATTTGTGTGTGTGTGTGTCACATGATACAGTTTCTTATAAATCTTCTCAGGACCCACCAAACACAGAAAGGAGTGCCACTACTAATGAGAAAAGACTGTGGACATCCCCAGTCCCATATGTTTTGAATGAAGACCTTGGTGAATATTAGTTTTCCTGCATTAACCAGAATATTTGTTTTAGTTATGGAGGCCTATGCAACATGTTAAGGAGTTAGTTACATAATTGAACAGACAGAAGTTCAATATGCATCAGTTACCTGGAGGAGAAGAGCAAGTTTAATGGCATCCTGTTGTGAATACAAATTTGTGAAATTCATACCAACAATGTATACAAGCGAGAATACCTCATCTGTTCTTGTCATTTACAATGCCATATCTTTGTTCTTCCTTTTTGAAAAATGCCCATGCACAATGGAAGAGATGAATGCTAAAGGAGTCATCCTGAAAGCCTTTGACCAGTTCAGGTTGAAGTCATGTATTGACTTCAAACCAAGGGACTCTGAGGAGTATTACATCAACGTCAAAAATATAGGCGGGTAAGTTTTAAAAATATTTTTAAAATGCTCCATATCTTTCTTGTTCGCAACATTTATCCACAAAAAGCACCTTAACAATTAGACTAATGAGACTTCCAGAGATTAGAGGGTGATCATGTTTTGCTATTGTTTGTACATTTGCTTGTGAGATGTATTGTTCTTTGTGGACCTTTGATAAGTATACATTTTGTTGTTTGTTATTGTTGTTGATGAGCTAATGACTGCTTTTTCTCATTTTAGATGTTATTCATATATTGGGAAAGTAATATCCAACGGACAGGAAATCTCCATCGGGCCTTACTGTGATTCCATCGCAACGGTTGAACATGAGTTCCTCCATGCTTTGGGCTTCGACCATGAACAGTCCAGATATGACAGAGATGATTATGTGACCATTGTTTACGAGAACATCAGAGAAGGTTTGTTAAATACTCTTATTAAACATGCCTCTTCTTTATATGTACAGGATGATATCAAGGTATATAAAGGACCTACAATGATTTGGAAATAAATAAGTTATTAGAATAATTAGTCCATGAACATATCATCAATATTTTTGTCTAAATACAGACGGTATAATCAAAAGTATTTCAAATATAAATTGGTGGCAAGATAAATGCTGCTGAAATTAAAACAATGAATACATAACATTATTCCAAACAATCTTCTTCATATCTTAATAAGTTTAAACAAATAATGATTGGCTTTTATATGTCTTTATCTAGACTATGAGAATAATTTTGACAAACAAAGCAATGTAACCAGCACCAACCAGGGAGTCCCGTACGACTTCTGGTCAGTGATGCACTATGGCAAAGATGCTTTCAGCAATGGCAACGGGTTAACTATTATAACCAAAGACCCAAAGTTCGAAGATGTGATTGGTCAAAGACTGGAAGTGAGTCCCAAAGACGTTCTGGAGCTGAACCTCCTCTACAAATGCAGTAAGTGATTGAAAGTTGGTGGAGATATAATAATGCTATTTGCAGCCCAGCAGGTTTTCAAGGGGCATTTTAATGAACTCAATAACTTTACCTGTGCTTTTAACTAAGTAAAAACATAATTGACGACAGCACAAGCTCGAACTAAAGCTATTCTTCATTCATTCTTATCAAAAGCCAGATAAGAGCTTATTTAATGATTCCTGTGAACCTGTATAATGCCATTTGGTTGCAGTTTGTGTATCAAAACATGTATTTGAACAATGAACTTCAAACTTAAAGGTTTACTCAATATTAAATGACTACCCACACAATCCTTTAACAAATCGGAATCAGTCTTATTTTGATTTGATACCCTACATACAACCAAGAGTCCGCAACCCAATGTTCTCTATCTTACTCTACAGAGTCAACCATTGCATTTCAGATGACATGCAGCTTCCCCGATGAGACCATGTGTCAAATGACTAGCTGTTCACAGAGTGGGCTTGTCTGGGAAATGGTAACACATGTTACAGGGGGTCCTGTGTCTGAACACACCAATCTACCCAGTGGCTGTGGTGAACAAGGTAACATTTTTAAATCTAACATTGCATTTGTGTACTTCAAAACTTTCCCTTTTACTATTCCTATCCACCTTTCTTATGCCACCCCCCATTATGTCATGTTATCTTTGAACTGTTGAATATATTATCAAGTATCCCCACAGAAAATGATTATAAACACAAATATATAACTCCTTATTTTTGGGACAATACACATTCTAGGTGAAGATGTGCGTTACTTCATGCATGTTAGCACGGCATCAGGTGAGGAGGGAGACTCGGCCTGGCTGGAGACCCACAGGATGAGTCTCAATAGGGAGCATCATGTCCAGTGTCTCCAGTTCTACTATTTCCACAGTGGGAAAATGTCAGACCACCTCAACATCTGGATCAGAGAGTTTCAGGAGGAATTGGACCTCAAGGGAACCTTACGCCTCATGGGACAGATCACTGGTAATGTAGCATCTGGTATCATTCTCCATAAATAGCATTTAAGAATCTTGTATTTGAAATCTATATATCTCATGCGCCTGTTATACAACAAATACAATTCAGACATCACAAAATGTTTCCTCCAGGTGAGCCAACAAACTACTGGAAGCTCCATCATGTGTCCCTGAATGCCACCAAGCACTTCCAGGTGGAGTTTGAGGTTCGTAAAGGAGCAGGAAGCTCTACAGGCGGCTTCTCAATTGATGACATAAATCTGTCAGAGATCGAATGTCCACATGTAACCATGCAGCTTGATGACTTTGAGCAGGCTTTGAACTCTGGAGGTTCTGGCATCCCTATTTACAGCCCTCGGCAATACTCCAGCGGGGGCTATGCTTACAGAGTTGGGGTTGTGTTGTATAATTCATTGTTCGGATTGATTGTGCAACTCGTGTCTGGTGAAAATGATGACCGGCTGGAGTGGCCTTGCCCACAAAGGCAGGTGACCTTCAAAATGCTGGACCAGAACGCCAACATCCAGCTGCAGATGTCCAAGCAATTTAGTATCACCAGTGATCTAAGCATATCCTCTGATGGTAAGTCTAAAAGTATTTAAAAAGGTATGTTTAAAAATATATATTATCTCTGGAATGAGATAATAATCGAATGTTATTGTTGATTACTTAGCTTTGATGATGTATATGCTTTCTATATACAGGCAGATATCGGTGGGGCAATCCTCGTAAAGTTGGAACTCCATACGTAGATGAGAATAATGAGAATGCATTTTCTGGAACTCTGTTTGGCCGTTGGCTTTCTGCCAAACAGAAGGATATGACAACCAGAGAGTTCCTCAAAGGAGGAAGTGTCGCTTTTGTTTTCAGCTTCCAAGGCAGGCTGAGAAAATATTTGTTTTGCTTCTAATTCTAATACAAACTCTTTTGAATATGTGTTTCAAATTGAAGTTATTATAGCTAAATGGTTATTATTTTCTAGATATCACCCCGCTAGTCACTGGAAGTTCCCTGCCAATTCCTCAAGTGGGACCAGTGGAGATCAAATATCCTCCGAAAGATCTAAATGGAGGCCCCTGCTCATCACGGTAAGACATTGTCTTAGCAAACAAAGTTTAATTGTCAGAACTGAAACCAATTTGAAACACAACTTAATGAAATAGATTTAATTTTGTTATAAGATGTCTTTCAAATGATACAATTCTTTCTACAGAATCTCACCAACCACCACCCACTCAACTCCCAAAACAACGGATGAGAGGTATTCACACTGACTCCCATGTTACATTTGAAGTAATTTGTAAGTTGTAAAATAGCTTGATGCCCTTGAGGATAATCAACAAATAAAATATATATAAATGTGTTTCTATGTTCATGTTAAGCAAAACAAATTTTTTTTATTTTAAAACAACAATTGAAGAAAGCAAGTTGATTTGTACATGCCTTTCAAATAATACTATGCGTTTTACAGCACCACCACCCTTAAACCTTCTAGAACCACGGATCACAGGTATTCACTATCACTCCCACACACTTGCAGTTATTTGTGGGCTTTGAAAATCTTATCTTAACTTGCACTAGCAACAACCATGCCACAACAGTATAATGTTTGTAGGTTTAAGGTAGGAGTATCAATGAATTGATAATGGAGGAGGTGATTAAGCGAATGGCGTCTGTTGGTCTGGTCTGGGATGACGTGCTTTGGTCCAGGCAGAGGGAGACTCAGAGTGGGGGTTCAGTCCCCGGCATGTTTCCGCAAAATATGCACGAGTTGAATACGAATAGAGACAGGTGGAGAGGATGAGGGGATGTAGGGATAATGGAAGGGATGAAGGGATGTAGGGATGAAAGGATAAGGTATGTCGGGATTAAGGGATGTCAGGATGGAGGGATGAAAGGATTAAGAGCGTTCAGGATGAAGGGATGAAGGGATGTAGGGAGGAAAGGATAAGGGATGTCAGGATGAAGGGATGAAAGGACTAAGAGATGTCGGGATGAAGGGATGTAGGGATGGAAGGATAAGGGATGTCGGGATGAAGGGATGTAGGGATTAAGAGATGTTGGGATGAAGGGATGAAGAGGTGGGAGGAAAGGATAAGGGATGGAGGGATTAAGGGATTAAGGGATGTCTGAATGTCAGGATGAAAGGATAATGGATGGAGGGATAAGAGATTAAGGGATGAAGGGATGTCTGAATGTCAGGATGAAGGGATAAGGGATGGAGAGATAAGGGATGCCGGGATGAAGGGGTCGATGGTTGGAGGGATTAAGGGGGTTGGGCTAAGGATGAGGTAGAAGTGCATGAGTGGAAGGGAGAGCGAGGGTGGGTTGAGAGAATGGAGACAAGTGATGGCCGCATGTTTGGCCGGATATAAATAGAATTAGCCTTGATTAGCGATGGGGTTGAGGCGTGGCCATGCTCCTGAACCTGAGTTAACAAATGTATTCAGTTAAAGAAAGCAATTTGCTTTTCAAATCATGCCTTGCATTTTACAGCACTACCACCCTAGAGCCTCCCAGAACCACGGATGAAAGCAGGTATTCACATTTACACTTTAAGTAATTTATTAACTGTATTACGTTTGTAAGTGGTAAAATAGCTTGATGCACTTGAGGATAATCAACAAATAAAATATATATATGTGTTTTTATGTTCATGTTAAGCAAGAAAGGTATATTTCTTTTAAAAAACAATTGAAGAAAGCAAGTAGATGTGTACATGTCTTTCAAATAATACTATGCATTTTACAGCACCACCACCCTTAAACCCCCTAGAACCACAGATCACAGGTATTCACTATTACTCCCACACATTACATAAAATCTTATCTTAATGCTCCTGAACCTGAGTTAATAAATGTATTTCATTTAAAGAAAGCAATCTGCTTTTCAAATCATGACTTGCATTTTACAGCACCACCACCCTTGAGCCTCCCAGAACCACAGATGAGAGCAGGTATCCAAATTTACACACAACTGTTACACTTGCAGTCATTTGTGTGCTATGAAAATCTTATTTTAAATTGCACGAGCAAGGACCATGCCACAACAGTAGAAGTTTTGTAGGTTTAATGAAGGAGTAACAATGAATGTATATGGAGGGGGTGATTAAGTGATGATGGCGATTGACGTCTGTTGGTCTGGTCTAGGAGGACGTGCTTTAGATGAGGGGATGTAGGGATAAGGGATGTAGCGATAAGTGATGTAGGGATAAGGGATGAAGGGATAAGGATGGAGGGATAAGGGATGGAGGGATAAGGGATGTAGGGATAAGGATGGAGGGATAAGGGATGGAGGGATAAGGGATGCCGGGATGCCGGGATGCCGGGATGAAGGGGTCGATGGTTGGAGTGATGAAGGGGGTTTGGCTAAGGATGAGGTGGAAATAGGAATGTATGAGTGGAAGGGAGTGGGAGGGCGGGTTGAGAGAATGGAGACAAGCGATGGCCGGATGTTTGGCCAGATATAAATAGATTTAGCCTTGATTAGCGATGGGGCTGAGGCGTGGCCATGCTCCTGAACCTGAGTTAACAAATTAATTTCATTTACAGAAAGCAATTCGCTTTTCAAATCGTGCTATGCATTTTACAGCACTACCACCCAAGAGCCTCCCAGAACCACAGATGAAAGCAGGTATTCACATTTACACTTTAAGTAATTTGTAAACTGTAATACTTTGTAAGTGGTAAAATAGCTTGATGCACTTGAGGATAATCAACAAATAAAATATATATGTGTTTCTATGTTCATCTTAATCAAGAAATGTATATTTCTTTTAAAACAACAATTGAACAAAGCAAGTAGATGTGTACATGTCTTTCAAATAATACTATGCATTTTACAGCACCACCACCCTTAAACCCCCTACAACCACGGATCACAGGTATTCACTATTACTCCCACACATTACATAAAATCTCATCTTAATGCTCCTGAACCTGAGTAAACAAATTAATTTAATCTAAAGAAAGCAATCTGCTTTTCAAATCATGCCTTGCATTTTACAGCACCACCACCCTTGAGCCTCCCAGAACCACAGAGGAGAGCAGGTATTCAAATTGACACACAACTGTTACACTTGCAGTCATTTTTGGGCTATGAAAATCTTATTTTAAATTGCACGAGCAAGGACCACGCCACAACAGTAGAATGTTTGTAGGTTTAATGAAGGAGTAACAATAAATTGATATGGAGGGGGTGATTAAGTGATGATGGCGAATGACGTCTGTTGGTCTGGTCTGGGAGGACGTGCTTTAGATGAGGGGATGTAGGGATAAGGGATGTAGGGATAAGTGATGGAGGGATAAGGGATAGAGGGATGGAGGGATATGGGATAGAGGGATAAGGTATGTTGGGATTAAGGGATCTAGGGATGTAGATAGGAAAGGAAGTCAGGATGAAGGGATATGGGATGGAGGGATAAGGGATTAAGGGATTAAGGGATTAAGGGATTAAGGGATGAAAGTACTAAGAGCAGTCGGGATGAAGGGATATAGGGATGTAGGGATGTATGGATGTAGGGAGGAAAGGATAAGGAATGTCGGGATGAAGGGATGTTGGGATGTCGGGATGAAGGGGTCGATGGTTGGAGGGATTAAGGGGGTTGGGCTAAGGATGAGGTAGAAGTGTATGAGTGGAAGTGAGAGCGAGGGCGGGTTGAGAGAATGGAGACAAGCGATGGCCGGATGTTTGGCCAGATATAAATAGATTTAGCCGTGATTAGCGATGGGGCTGAGGCGTGGCCTTGCTCCTGAACCTGAGTTAACAAATTAATTTAATTTAAAGAAAGCAATTCGCTTTTCAAACCATGCCTTGCATTTTACAGCACTACCACCCTAGAGCCTCCCAGAACCACGGATGAAAGCAGGTATTCACATTTACACTTTAAGTAATTTAATAACTGTATTACGTTTGTAAGTGGTAAAATAGCTTGATGCACTTGAGGATAATCAACAAATAAAATATATATATGTGTTTTTATGTTCATGTTAAGCAAGAAAGGTATATTTCTTTTAAAACAACAATTGAAGAAAGCAAGTAGATGTGTACATGTCTTTCAAATAATACTATGCATTTTACAGCACCACCACCCTTAAACCCCCTACAACCACGGATCACAGATATTCACTATTACTCCCACACATTACATAAAATCTCATTTTAATGCTCCTGAACCTGAGTAAACAAATTAATTTAATCTAAAGAAAGCAATCTGCTTTTCAAATCATGCCTTGCATTTTACAGCACCACCACCCTTGAGCCTCCCAGAACCACAGAAGAGAGCAGGTATTCAAATTGACACATAACTGTTACACTTGCAGTCATTTTTGGGCTATGAAAATCTTATTTTAAATTGCACGAGCAAGGACCACGCCACAACAGTAGAATGTTTGTAGGTTTAATGAAGGAGTAACAATAAATTGATATGGAGGGGGTGATTAAGTGATGATGGCGAAGGACGTCTGTTGGTCTGGTCTGGGAGGACGTGCTTTAGATGAGGGGATGTAGGGATAAGGGATGTAGGGATAAGGGATGGAGGGATAAGGGATAGAGGGATGGAGGGATAAGGGATGGAGGGATAAGGTATGTTGGGATTAAGGGATCTAGGGATGTAGATAGGAAAGGAAGTCAGGATGAAGGGATATAGGATGGAGGGATAAGGGATTAAGGGATTAAGGGATTAAGGGATGAAAGTACTAAGAGCAGTCGGGATGAAGGGATATAGGGATGTAGGGATGTATGGATGTAGGGAGGAAAGGATAAGGAATGTCGGGATGAAGGGATGTTGGGATGTCGGGATGAAGGGGTCGATGGTTGGAGGGATTAAGGGGGTTGGGCTAAGGATGAGGTAGAAGTGCATGAGTGGAAGTGAGAGCGAGGGCGGGTTGAGAGAATGGAGACAAGTGATGGCCGGATGTTTGGCCAGATATAAATAGATTTAGCCGTGATTAGCGATGGGGCTGAGGCGTGGCCTTGCTCCTGAACCTGAGTTAACAAATTAATTTAATTTAAAGAAAGCAATTCGCTTTTCAAACCATGCCTTGCATTTTACAGCACTACCACCCTAGAGCCTCCCAGAACCACGGATGAAAGCAGGTATTCACATTTACACTTTAAATAATTTAATAACTGTATTACATTTGTAAGTGGTAAAATAGCTTGATGCACTTGAGGATAATCAACAAATAAAATATATATATGTGTTTTTATGTTCATGTTAAGCAAGAAAGGTATATTTCTTTTAAAACAACAATTGAAGAAAGCAAGTAGATGT